GATCTCTGTCTGAAATAATTACCTTGAGCAAGCCATGGTTTCTGAAGATGGTTGTGAAGAAAATCTTGGCTACTTCTAGGGCAGTGGCGGAGGTATGCATCGGTTGAAAATGTGTTCTCTTTGAGAGACGGTCAACAAACACAACTATAGCGTCATGCCCTTGTCTTGTTAGGGGCAACTGCATAATGAAGTCCATGATAATTTCTTCCCATCTTTTACTAGGGGTTGACAGGAGCTGGAGAAGTCCGGCAGGAGTCTGGTTGCTTGCTTTATTCCTTTGGCATATATCACATGTTTGTACATACCATTGGATCTCTTTGCCCATTTTTGGCCAGTAGAAGTTTCTCATTACGGCTTCCATGGTCTTGTTTATTCCCAAATGTCCAGTGATTTCAACATCATGACATTCTTGCAGGATGTATGTCATTAATTTCTTATCAGCAGGAATGGCTAATCAGTGTTCCTCTCGAAGATATATGCATCTATCACACAGTTCAAAATGTTTGGCTTTTGCTCGGGCCTTTTCATCAGCTTGTTCAGGATGTTGCAGAGTTTTTATGATCGGTGCAAAGTACTTATCATTCTGGTACCCTTGTTCGAGGATCTGGTCATTTATTAAGGTTGCAGTTAAGGTGGTTATCACTCTCAGTTGTGGCTTTCTTGACAATGTATCAGCCACTACGTTGATTTTGCCAGGTTTATATTTTACCATAAAGTCATGCGCTTGCAGGGTTTTTAACCATCGGTCTTGTCTTCTTGACAAGTTGGACTGGGTTCTAATATACTCCCAGGATGTGTGATCTGTTACTACGGTAAACTTTTGTCTTTCAAGATACATATGCCATGTTCGAATGGCATGAATGATGGTCAACAACTCTTTCTCATGTACAGCATAATTCTGTTCTGCTGGGGATAACTTTCTGGATTCATAGGCTACAGGTTGTTCACCTTTTCCTTGGTCTTGCGCAAGTACAGCTCCAATGACATAGTTAGAGGTGTCAGTAGTTACTATCAAGGGTTTGGTAGGATCAGGAAGGAGAAGGATTGGAGTGGTAATAAGTTTCTCTTTTAATGCTTCAAAGGCACTCTGGGCTTCCTCTGTCTAAACAAAATCATGATCCTTATGTAAGAGATCGGTCAGTGGGGTGGTGATGGATGAAAATTTTTTTACAAACTTTCGATAGTAACTGGCTAATCCCAGGAATAATCGAACTTCTGATACATTAGTTGGAGCAGGCCAACTTTTGATAGTTTCCACTTTTCGTGGGTTAACTGCAACTCCTTCTTTAGATATGAAGTGACCTACATATTCCACTTGTTCTTTGACCAATTCGCATTTCTTGACTTTAGCATATAACTTATGCTTCCTAAGGGTAGAGAGAACAACACGAACATGTTGGAGGTGTTCCTCTTTTGTCTGGCTATAGATCAATATATCGTCTAGATAGACAATGACAAACTTATCCAAATAGTCACGGAAAATGTCATTCATCAGGGTCATAAAAGTGGCAGGAGCATTTGTTAGACCAAAAGGGAGGACAAGAAATTTATAATGTCCATATCTTATATGGAAGACAGTTTTGTGAATATCGGAATCCTTGATATGGATCTGGTGGTACCCAGAATAAAGATCAATCATTGAAAAATACTTGGAACCAGTGAGATGATCCATAAGTTCATCTATCCTTGGCAGAGAATATCGGTTCTTGATGGTGATCTTATTCAAAGCCCTATAGTCCACACAAAGTTTAAGGGTTCCTTCTTTCTTATGCACAAATAATACTGGGGCACCGAATGGAGAGATGCTTGATCTGATAAATCCCTTGGTCATAAGCTTAGCAAGCTATTTCTTTAGTTCATTCATCTCCACATATGACAATCTGTAAGTGGGTTTTGATGGAGGTTCAGACCCAGGAATTAGCTCTATAGCATGGTCAATGTTTCGCGGTGGTGGTAGGTTATTAGGGAGTTCAGTAGGAAATATATCTTCAAATTCCTGAATAAGAGCTTTGCCCTCTTCGTTCATATCATTTGGCAGTTCAAGAATATTGGTGGAACAAATAGTAAACAATTCAACTGTTTCTGGAGTGGCAGCTAATTGATGACGGGAGATATAGATCGTGGAGCATTCAGAGGTAATACCAGCTTTCTGGGCATTGGCGTTGACTTTGATGGTGCGCTGTCCATATTGGAAGGTGAGAGTGTTACTTCTCCAATTGATGTTGGGATTTGCGAAGTACAACCATGGTTTTCCTAGTATAGCATCATATTGTGGCAGGTCCAGAACTTGTGCAGTGATACCAGATGCTTTGTATGCATCTAACTCCAGCTTTTCGATGTTCAGTTCTTTTCTTACTTTTTTCTTACGGCCATCGGCCAGTTCTATGGTGAGTGGTTTAGATATAGCACTTTGTAGCAAGTGGTATTTCTTGACAAACTTTTTATTAACAAAATTTCTGAAGACTTCACTGTCTAGAAGAATCCAGGCAGGTTTTTCATTAATCTTTCCATTGAACCGCAATAACTGTTCTCAGTTCTCTTCTAGTTTGATAAATTCAGCAGTAGAGAATGACGATGGTTCCTCTATTTCTATCTGAAAATTTCTGGCTAGTCTCTGAGGGCATTTTCTTGCAACTTGCCCTGATTTTCCACATTTAAAGCAGAGTCCTTTCTGCATCATATATTTCTTTTTCTGTTCATCCAACTGGTCCAACTCCATGGGAGTGGTCTGTCAGGTATCAATTGGAGATGTATAGGCAGCTGTTTGGTGCGAATGACGATTCTGTGATAACTGATTCCTATTATTGGAACCCTGGTGGTTTCTCTGTTCATTCCTTCGTGGCGCTGGCTGTCCAGAGCCATATATAGCGATGTCATATCTCACGGCCTGTGTTCAAGCTTCTTCAAAAGAATTGGAAGAGCGGTAGCTCACTTCTATACATGTGGCAGGTTTCAATTCCTCCACAAAATATGCAATTTTATCAGCCTCAACCATATTATCAATTTGACCCAAGATGTTTCGAAAGGCCATGCCATACTTTTGCATAGAACCAGTCTGGCGAAGCCTTTTTAGTTGATGGCGCAGATACTGTTGGTGGTTTGGCGGCTGGAAGGCAGTACGAAGGTCGCGAGCAAAATTGTTCCAATTATCAAAGACATTGACTCGGTTGGCAGCTTGTGTCTCTTGTACTTTATTGAGATACCAATACAGAGCGGCATCTTCTAACCCAGTGGCAGTATACTGTATGCATATTTGTGGTTCTGCGATACCTTGCACCATGAAAATATTGAGACATTGTAACATCCAAGTAATAACATTCTCTTCTGGGGCTCCCTTGTATGTGGGAATCCTGACGAAGATTTTGGAGGCAGTAGCATCTTGATATTGCTGTGGTGCGGGAACTTGTAATTGTCCCAACCCTTGGGCAAGGGCTACCATAAATTCTTGAAATTGTGTTCTATTCATCACAACAGAATCTGAAGAAGAAGCTTATGAATATGTGTGTGTATATATGTGTGTATGTATATATGTGTGTGTGCGCGGTCGCGTAATTGTAACAGTCCGCTGCTACCAAGTTGTAAAAAACTTTATTTCAATAAGTCAGAGAACAATTGTTATTTGGCCAACAAGACAACAAAGTTGTTTTATTTTAGGAGAGGCTTTTCCTCTCTATATAAGAATCTGGCCTAAAGTACTTTTTAGTTAAAATAACATAAATAAATCTATAAATACAATAATTAAAAATACATAAATCTTGACATAACGGACGTCCAGACTTATGGGGCTATAATATAACTTAAAAAGAAAAATAAGAAGAAAAATAATAATAATAAAAGAAATCTATTGGTTCGCGCTACTACTGTTTACGGGGCTAATTTCTATTCTAGGGAAACAAGACAAATTAACTATAATGAAAGGCACTCAGCCCGGGATAGCTAAAGATGATCTCAGATGATATTATGCGGAGAGTCCAAAAATAGTAGACAGGGCGGACTTCGGGTCCATAGTTACACAGAGTCATGTATACTTACACAAAATTGATGGGGGCAGGCGTGGATTTGTTACATTGTAAGGCAACTCTTTATATGAGGCTGGAAGTGTCTGTTTAGAAGGGGGCAGTTGGAAGTAGCTTTCTGTGAGCTTTGCTGGGACATAGTAGACATCTCTGAGTTGGTTTGTAAGCTGCCTGAGATTTCTGAGGTCACTTCTTTTGGTGAGGGGAAAGAGCTTTTTGAGCTTTCCTTTGAGTATCGAGGGGTTTTCTGAAAGATTTGATCTTTGAATTAAAAAGGTTGTCAAAAGGAGGTCAAAGTTGTAGAACGCTCTGAGGCTTCTGGCAACTTCAGCGATAGGACTGAGTGATGCTAATGGTATTGCCCTTGATAATTTAATTTTGATTGAGCTAGGAATTTCTTTTAGTGATTGAGGAAGGTTGGATAAGTTTTTCTTTATCCATTCCTTGCATTGAGTGGAGATTTCTTGGTAGTCTATTTTGTCCAGGGTAGGATTGATAAAGAAGTTAAAGAGGTATTCCAGCATCTGCACAATTTGCCAGAATTTCATTGTTTTGATGTCTGTGGATCTGATGTAGGCGACTGCGAGGGCTTTTTAATGATAATTCTGATTTTTCTCTTAATAGCTTGATTGATATATCAAATGTTATTGTTTTTTATGTAATTTTCATGAAACTTTTTCACTATGTTTTCATACTCTCTCTAGTGTTGACCCTTGATGATTTCCTCCCTGAAGAAGGTTCTGAAGAAATCTCGGTTCCTATGTAGGATTTTAGTGAAAATGGATTTGGTATTAGGCTTTAGGCCTGGGTTGCTTTCTTCTCTTAATTTCAAGAACTAGTCGACAATGGCTCTGGAGGTGCGCTCGCAATTATCGAGATCTCTGCATAGTTCAATTAGCTTTGCTTGTTCAGCTTCTGGATTAACATCTTTGATATCATTGTTTATAGTCAAGGGGGATGAAGGTCTGGTTTTGGCTTCTTCAATTGCTTCATCTGTCCATAAGGATATCACCTGAAATTGAGATGAATCTGATTAGAGTGGAGTAAGATTGTTATCCACTTCCGTATTTGAACTGTTTGTGTCTGTAAATGATGATGTGACTGCTTCACTTGTGGATAATTGGGGTGCGAGCATGTGCTATCAGAATTAGCATAGTACTTGTGTGGACTGGTGCAATTTACTTCATGTATTATATTTAGTGCATGAGGATTGATATGACCTGCGACATGTGTTGCAATCATTGCTTGAGGACTGGAGTGATCTTTGTTGCACTCAAGGGACTCTGCATGCATAGTTTCAGGGGAACAATCAATCTGCATTTCATTGTTACTGCTTATTTCCTCATTTGGGGCAGCAGTATTTGGAGGGGTCTAGGGGATTCGGATTTTTGGATTTTGAAGGTTTGGAAGAATTCTTTGGCAATAATTACAACTCTGCTCCATGGAAGGTGTAGATCATAGTTCAAGGCATTCTTTATCACTTCTTTGATGGCATGCTCTTTGTCATTTGTGTTCAGTTTAAAATCTGTTTGGTGTTTAATAAATTCGTTTAGTGTCTTCAAGGACTTGGAATCTAAAAGTGAGGCAGTTGCTTTGAGTTGGGATTTGAGGAGCTGTTTTGTGACTTCAAACTTTACTTGGATGACTTCGATAGACTCTTCTGTTGATTTGGTGTGCTTTATTGTAGTAGGAATAAGTCAAGAGCTAGGATGGTTGTTAAGAGATGGGACATAAATTTTTTTTGCTGGTTTGGTAACATAGATTTGTAACGTTTTGACATTTTTGTAAATGATGGAGACTTTGAGGTTCCTTTTGTTATCAGTCAAGATTATGTCTAATAAGGTATGTTGAGTATTGATGTTGGAAGGCTTTGGAGGGGAGCTCCGCTCCCTTTTGGTTTTTTTTTTTAGACAAAATTTTTGGTTTCCCTTGAGTGTTTTCCTAATTTGATAGTTTTGATGTAAGTGAGAAAGAGTTTTTTTTTATATTCTGTATAATTACAATATTTCTATTTATAATTTTATTATTTATGACAACAATACCTATTTTAACAATTACTTACCTATTTTAATAATTATTATTTCAATAAATATAATTCTATTATTAAACTTCAATAAATATAATTTTAATGATTATATATATATATATATATATTTTGCATACTAACTTATTCTTGCACCAATATCGGAACCTTTATTAATTATTAAGATAGATCCTAAAAACAACTGGAATAAGTAATTATCTATACTGCTTATAGATTTACAGATCAATGAATAGTACAAGGGGTATCTATTTATGTCTCACCCAATCAGAATAGGACAACTATGTGACCATTTAATATAAGATTTTTCTTAATTCCTAATAAAGTCAAAAGTACTGGTGATGTTTTAACCTATCAATTTAATGGAGAACCATTCAATTTAAACTATGTTTGTATACCCTTATCCAATCAAAGTAACACTTCCTAGAACTGTAGTTCACTAAATGACTTATTGCTATCCCTGTAAAGGGAGGCTAATGTATCAAGAACTTGTCTAAAATGCCTAGCACTACTGATGTCAGGAATCTATTATATAGGATCTTTATAACTTCTGTTAGCATGTATATTTTTTTATGGAACTTGTTTTGTTTTTTGTTATTGTTTGTCCTTTGTAGCAACTCATATTTGTCTTTTTGGAGGAACCTGTCTTGTGTTTTCTTAAACATTAAAATGCCTTGCTGCTCAACTTTGACACTTAGATAGAGGGATCAGTCTTAATTAAGGATGTTATACCACTTGGTCTTGCCTTGTTGAAATCTGTTTTGGTAGTTAGCTTGCATATCAGGCTAATTTTCTATCTTGTTATGGATATAATAAGCAGTCGATTCCTTGTTGTGGTTATATTGGGATACTGGATCATTACCATGGGATAAATGAGATCTTTGTGTCACTGATAGCTAGATTTCACTTGGCTCTTATGTGGTATTGAACTCTAGATCTTGTGATTGCAACCTGGAAATACTACTACTGTGCTATAGATCCATAGGTTCTTTAATGATTATAATTAAAACTAACAAGACTTTTATTTTATTTATTTTTTTTTTATCGCAAATGAGCATTAAATGTGGGCTTTTATTAGAAATTTAATTCATTAGCTTGACATTAATAGTCTTTACATTGTAAATTAACTATAGCCTATTGCGATTTGCTTTCCATGACAGACTACCAGTCATTGACTGGGTATATCATGCAAAGGTCGAATGGCTAATACTCATTCGAAAATGATGAAATTATTGATGGAGTAAAAATGGATAAGTTAGTAGAGTTGTTATGTTGACTAGATATCTGTATTATTTGTTTAAAAAGAGAATCTTTGTAGTTATTGTTACTGTTACTAGAGGTAGAAGGTGTTGCTTTGGTGGGTTTCCATTTGATTCTATTTAGAGGAGCTGTGTTCGCTGTGACCGATCACTGTTTCCATATCTTGTTAAGAATTTTGAGGGATTTATTGACTAATTGTGCTTTGTGTTTTGGTTTGATAAGTTGATTAGAGAATTAATTGGGAACTCCTAGTGCTATTTTGAGTAACAAGGTACCATCCTTAAACTGATGAAGGTGATTAAGATTATTTGTTGAAGAGCTTTTTGTTGTCTGCTTATTGATTAAGTCTTTAAAAAAAGTGACTAGTTTTTTTGCTTTTTGATTCAAAAGTTCGTGATTTTCATTACATGTGAAGACATGGATTTGATCTTCTATAGGATGTTCGCATAGAGGACATTTTGTGTTTGGATAGAATAATGGATATCATTTGTTAAGTTTGGTTCTCGTGGGTAGAGAATTCAAGAGTAGTTTTGTTTGAAATATTATTAAAGTTCTGAATTTTAATTTATTAGCAGCCCAACATTGTTTGTTTGCTAATTTAAGTAGCTTAAGTTTATCAATGGATTTGGGTTTGTAGAACATGACAGTACTAAGAATGGATGCAATTAAATTGCTGGAGTTATTAATGAATTTGATCCAGTGTATAATGTTAGTGCCTATTTTGTTATTGATACTGGGAGACGAATTGTAACTATTAGTGTTGATGAGTGGGAGTGATGAGATTGGATTATTAACTGGTGGTTCGATTGAGTTTTTTTCCTTTGAAAACTCTATTGTAATATATTTTGTTTTGACTAGGTTTTGACAATATTTGATAAAGTGACTGTAGGGAACTCTAATTTGTTTGTTTATATATAAAGGAAAAGAAGACAATAGAGTTGTAGAAAGATAACATTTGATAGTTGTGTTTGAATCAGCAGTTTCAATTTGATTTAGTAATATAGTCCAGGTTTCATTTGATGAATTAGAAAGGTTGGAAAAAAATGTCCGGGTTGTTGATTTTTCAAGGCAAATAAGTTATTGTTGCTGAGTTATGGTTATCTTATTAGGAGCACTTGTCATTTTATTATGATTAGATAAAATAATTATAGAAGGCAGAAGAACGGGTTCTTTTGACATGAGTTGAACTTTGACTTCTTCTAGATTGTTTAGTATTTGAAAGAAATTATTGTTTTTCTTATGCCAAAGTGATACAACTTTGGATATAGGTTGAAAAATTATATATAGCTGAGAGAAACAACCACATAGTATTTTATGATGTATATGATGGTCAAGTATATAATGACATTCTTTTATAATTGATGTGTCTCTGTTATTTTTTCATGATTTTATGAATTCTGATGATTGATTTGCTATATTTAAAGCCCAAAATAATGGAGTCGGATTAGGTTTCGGGAGCATGTTACCATTGATAGGTGAAGATATATTGATTAGGTTTGAGAACCATGTAGGTATTGGTCCTGGATTAATCTTCCTGGCTTTTCTATAAAATTCAGTCCATGAATTTTTGACTGTAGAGTTGAAGCAAAAGAATTGTTTGATCGACCTTATATTCTGTCTGTATAAATAAAGTGCTGTTGATTTTGAAATATTAGTATGTAACCCAATTGAGAGGTGTGGATCATCAGTCTTGAAAGAACATTCCAGGGGGCAAATATTGATATGATATTTATGTGAGAATAAGGCAGCTTCAGTAAACCATGAAAATTTGAATAAGTGGAATTTGCATATAGGGCATTCCCAGATGGCTGTGCTGACCTGAATTGAGTGAATCTCTTTTTTAATAAATGGAAAAGTGATTGGACTTGCTAGAATTGTGACCAGAAGCTTGATGAGAGTTTGATTTTTTCAGTCATTCAGTAAGGTAAGGTTCAAACCTGCTTGAGAATAGACCATCTTGTTGGTGATGGTACGCTCAACACCTAGTTTCGTTTTAATTGCTTTGTTTGTTGTCACTTGTAATTTGTTGAGATCACTTTTTTTAGCAGAGTTATCTGGAGGGCATATTCCAGTTGAGCCGGGATAATCCATTGAGAGACTTGCTTGGTAATAGAGCCATTCCATTGCTTTTATTGTGATATGCATTTAGAAAATTTGTTAGTTTTATCTAACAGGTTTTTCTTCATAGCCATGTCTGGAGATTTTCTAGGTAAGTATATCCTTAAGTATTTGATTGGGTGATTGAAAGGTTTTGGTGTGATATGTGTACCCTCTACTATTAGGCTTTGTTTTCTCTTATCACTTTTCATGGAGTGGCTAGTAATCAGATCAGTTTTTGTTTTGTTACATGTTATATGGTTCATTTTTAAGAATGATGTGAAAATATTCATTGCTGATTGTAATGATCCTAAGGAATGAGAGAATATTGCTACATCATCAATATATGCAAATATTTTTCTAACTGTATTAGATTGTTGTGAATTCTGGAGATAACCGGATCATAGAATATTGTTCAAAGTAGTGGAGCTATTGTTTCACCTTGGTCTAATCCTTAGGATACTACTATTTAAGGAGTCAGGTTGTAGTATGCAATGAATTGAATCGAGCAGTTTTTTAGAAAATTTAAAATTAGATTGTTAAAATTTGTTGAAGTCTTTATTCAAATAAGGGCTAGCTCCAAGCTTTTCAAATTGACAGAGTCAAACACTTTCGAAATATCAAATAATGCTAATCAGTAATATTTGTTGAAGTTGTGTGAAGAGCTGATTAAGGATCTCAAGATAGCTATAGGTTCCAAAGTACTTTGGTTTTTTGTACCGGCAAAATTGGATGAT